TGTAATGCCGTGGCCCTTCTGGCTTATCATATTCCGGGCAGCACGCTAAGAGGCCCAGTTCAGTTTGGTTCTTCTCAGCAGCCAGTCCAGCTCAAAGTTCCTCCTGGATGTATCTTTGCAGTCGCAATAAAAGTTATCTATCAGATACGAACATTTTCTATGGCCTCTCATTTATGAAACTTAGTACTTTCCTTCTAACTGGGCAGTTATTTCAAATCCTCAAGCGGCAGAACTCACCTTAGAAGGATGGTACATATGACAGTATGGTTGACCCGCTGTTTGCTTACTAGGGTTGCCAAATCGTTCTTACCTTGCGGCGGGGGGCTCCCGTTCGGCATCTTGAGTGCGTGTGCGAAGCGCGAGTGCGCCGCATGCACGTCACCCGGATGTGACATGATGACGCCGGACATGCTGGGGGCGGGGCCACAGCCATTTGAGAACTCTATGTTTTCCCCTCAAATGGCTGTGGCCCCGCCCCCAGCATGTCCGGCGTCATCATGTCACATCCGGGTGACGTGCATGCGGCGCACTCGCGCTTCGCACACGCACTCAAGATGCCGAACGGGAGCCCCCCGCCGCAAGGTAAGAACGATTTGGCAACCCTAGTAAGCAAACAGCGGGTCAACCATACTGTCATATGTACCATCCTTCTAAGGTGAGTTCTGCCGCTTGAGGATTTGAAATAACTGCCCAGTTAGAAGGAAAGTACTAAGTTTCATAAATGAGAGGCCATAGAAAATGTTCGTATCTGATAGATAACTTTTATTGCGACTGCAAAGATACATCCAGGAGGAACTTTGAGCTGGACTGGCTGCTGAGAAGAACCAAACTGAACTGGGCCTCTTAGCGTGCTGCCCGGAATATGATAAGCCAGAAGGGCCACGGCATTACAGAAAGGCCATTTTATAATTGTTTTTTTCAGCAAATTTGTCTCAGGGAAGAGAGGATCGGAGTGTCTGCAAAATGATTCACCTTGTGACTTCAGCCCTGATGATTAATCCGTGAGCCAATTTGAATCTGTGATGAAAGCCTTGGTTGACTGAGAGAGCAGGCAGTTCTAAGAAGAGTCGCATCCTTCAAAGCTCATTGATGTCAATGAACTTAGAAGGGTGTAACTCTGCTCAGGATTGCACTGCAAGGTGCCAATCAAATCAGTTATAAGTTTGCATGTCAATCTGGTGCGTTTTAATATGGTGGCACATCACTGTTGTATTGCATGTTTATTGCATTGGTTCATTCCATTTTTTAATTTCTGCCCTTTCTCCGAGGAGCAGTTCTGGGCACCACACCTGTGTGCAGTTCTGGGTGCAGTTCTGGGCACCACACCTTAAAAAGGATATTATAGCTTTGGAAAAAGTGCAGAAAAGGGCAACTCGAATGATAAAAGGGTTGGAACACTTTCCCTATGAGGAAAGGTTAAAGCGCTTAGGGCTCTTTAGCTTGGAGAAAAGACGACTGAGGGGTGACATGATCGAGGTTTATAAGATTATGCATGGGAAAGAGCAGGTAAAGAAAGAGGTACTTTTCTCCCTTTCTCACAATACAAGAACCCGTGGGCACTCCATGAAATTGCTGAGCGGTCGGGTTAGAACGGATAAAAGGAAGTACTTATTCACCCAAAGAGTGATTAACACATGGAATTCACTCCCTGCATCAGGAACTTTCAGCTGTTGAGATGCAACCTTAACTAAATTAAATTCACCAGCAGTAACAGGATTGACTTTTAGAAAATGAAGCGAGACAGAGAGAGACAGAGACAGAGAGACACACAGAGAGAGCGCTCTAGATACAATAAAGGTAAAAATAATACATAAAATTAAAAATGGTGAAAGATTCTATTGTGTATTCACTGATCATTCTGAAAATAGATAAAGGTTCTCATCCTGTCTGGAAATACAATTATAGACTTCATATGAAACGGCTACTGTGTGTATGTTTAACCCAGCCCATTAATACTTACAGTTTAATTATATCTGGGGCAAAAATGCCAACCACCGAAAAGCAAACTTTTTGCAACTCCAATGTTTCTGGAAAACAACACATTTTTTTTTAAGTACACATACATACATAAAAAGCATTTTGGAATATACAAAAGAACACAGAAGAAGACAAGAATTTCCTTGCTAGATCAGACCAGGGGTTCATCTAAAGGAGCATTCATTCTTCAACCGTAGCCAGCCTTGGGAAGCTCAGATGCCAGACATGATACCATAGCTATGTTCTATTGGCCTCCAGCAAAACTGGTAAAATGTGACAAACAGTGAGCAAAAGGTTTGGACTGGTTATTGGAGATTCAAGTTACTGGAAATTCTATTTCCATTAAGACAGTAGCAGTAGAATAGGCTATTAGTTGTTCTGTGGTCAACACTGGACTATACTTTAAGAATATAGTAGGTAGTATCCAGACACATCTGTCAATGGAATGGGAGCTTCCTGCCTCTACTTTCCCTCTGCTGCTCACTAAGGTTCCCGAAACATTGGTCCTGAGGAATGGGGGACGCTCGAGAGAATGAAGGATGAACTGAAGGTCTGCAGATTTTAACTGATTTTCCCTCCTGCAGATTATTAAAATAAATAAATAAATAAATAAATATCGACAATGTGGCTGCATTTTTTAAAAAGCACTAAGTTATCAGTATATTGATATAGTGTTGTAATGATAGTGTAAGCAGATTCTCTGGATTCACAGCTTTCAGTCTTAAAAAGTAAGTCTCTATCTTCTTCCCTCATGGAGATATAAGGAAAAAGGCATATCTCTGTGAGGGAAGAGGATACAGACTTACATTTTTATACAAATGAAAGCTGGGAATTCAGTGAACCTACTGAAACCATCATCACAACGCTATTTTGACTTATCAATATTATATTGCCATGTTTTTCAAAATAACAAAAAAATGTGGCTCAAAAGCACATAGTTCCTTAGAAGGAAACACTCAATAGTTAAACTACCGAGTTAAACCATAGAGGTTTAGCTGAATGCTAGAGCATTGCTGGTGACCTGATAACATCATTTCTGGGTCACGTCAGATGAGACGTTAGCACACTGCCACCAATGTCATGACAGTGCTGGCAAAGGACACCCACACCCACACATACATACAGGTGAGTCTCCTACTGGTTGTCAGCCTTGGGCTGGCAGCCCTACTCCAGGGAGAGACAGAGATAAAAATGCCCCTTGGTTTCCAGCTCAGTTTAGGAATTCCCAGCAACACAAGAATATGTGGCCCAATAAGATTGGTGAGGCCAGCTGCGATTGGTGTTGTATGCAGTAAATTCAGCCATGAAAGGGCACAGCTGTATGCCAGTCCTATGTCTCAAAGTTCATCCTAAGGGCTGTATAGCTGAGTGGACATTTGAACCATGGTCTCCCTGACTGTAATCTAAAAAAACTAATAACCATTACATTACATTGCATAATTATAGGTTGTGTCTTGATCATTCTTAGGACTAAGTTGGTATGTTTTTGCTACAATTATTTCACTGTAAAGCTAGTCAATTAGGTTGGTCATGTCTTCCTATAAAGCATGGCAGCTGTTGACTTCCTTGAGATAACAAATTTCTCTAAGATGTTCCACATGAAGGAGTTTTAACCACTGTGACAATATATATATGTGTGGCATCCATTCATCTGTTTTCTTTTGTCATTACTTCCAGAAAAGAGGCATAAAACATCATCTGGCTACAGCCATATTATTCCACACAGAATTATTTTTGGCATAACAAATCTTGTTCATAAATATTCAAAAGGACTTTTGAAATGGTGATTGGCTTAGGAGAAAGTGTAGTAAAGAATATAAATATATGAAAAAAAAACCTGCCAGCCCAGTGCCTCTGGGAAGCTAGTGAACAGGACAGGATGCAAAATATCTAAACACAACACAGCCATTCCATTTCCCTGTTACAACTGGGGGGGGGCTGTGAAGAATTGCCCTGGGGAGTGATACAATGTGCACAAACCCTCCCCACTCCCAAAATTTCCCTCTCCAGGATTCTAGGAGTTCTCAGGGGCTTGAGCAGGGCCATTTGCCTCTTTAGCTGATGTTCCACACACTTATGAAAAATGGAGGGAGGGATATCAGCCACCACAGAAGAAGAAGAGAAGAGAGAAGAGAGAGATTGGATTTATACCCCACCCTTCACTACCCAAAGGTGTCTCAGAGCGGCTTACAAACTCCTTTCCCTTCCCCTCCCCACAACAGACACCCTGTGAGGTAGGTGGGGCTGAGAGAGCTCTTGACAGAAACTGCTCTTTTTCAAGAACAGCTCTGACAGAACTACAGCTTGCCCAAGGTCATCCAGCTAGGTGCAAGTGGAGGAGTGGGAACTCAAACCCGGTTCTCCCAGATTAGAGTCCGCACACTTAACCACTACACCAAACTGGCTCTCCACTGCCAGGAACTGCCTCACTATAAAAACCTAACATACTGAAGGGAGAAGGATTCTGCTTCAGAGTACTTATTTACACGACACATTTCTATGGGAAGGATATTTTTTTCATAGGAACCTCCCATTCACACAGGGTTATCCACCTGCAACCTTCAAGCGCTCTGGGGAAAAGAATGGCCACCTAACTAATTCCTTTAATTGCATCCACTGGCCCTCACAGTTTGAGTGCTGGCTGCTATTCTTGGAATTATTCAACAAGATAAACTGTAAAACATTGTCAAACATACAAATTAAGGGACAGAGCCTGTGAATAGCTATTTGATATCATACCATTCCATTAATCCAAGGTGTTCTGACTAATAACAGCAGACACATTGCCATGGGAGTTTGCTGAGTGACCTTGGGCCAGTAACCTACTATCAGCCTAACCTACCTCACCGGGTTGTTGTCATGACAATAAATGGAGGAGAGGGGAATTGTGTGAGCCACTCTGAGTCCCCATTGGGGAGAAAGGTAGGGCATAGATGACGTAAGCAAATAATAATACATTTTCAGACCTAAGTGTGCATTTTGGATTATGAAGTGCAGACTGAAATATGGCACATCAGTCTTACCAGGTAAGTAGCTACAGAGTCTCTCCAGAGCTTCTTGTACTGTAGAGTTCTTGTGGGCCTGGGTCAGCTGTTCTATTATAGACACCATCATCACACACCCTGTGAAGACACAAGAGAAAGGATGATCCATGTTATTTATAGTGATACACCATTTGAACATTGATTCACGCATTTGATTACTTACAGGTTCTGGGGGGGGGAGAAAATAACACAATGTGTGTGTGTGTGTGTGTGTGTGTGTTAAGAGCCATCAAGTCACTTCTGACTTATGGCGCCCCTATGAATTAACATGCTCCAAAACATCCTATCATTAAGCCACTCTCTCGGGTCTTGTGAACTGAGGGCCGTAGCTTCTTTTATTGAGTCAGTCCATCACAAGTTGGGTCTTTCTTTTCTTACTGCCTTCAACTTTTGCCAGCATTATTGTCTCTTCCAGTGACTTGTCTTCTCATTATGTGACCAAAGTATGATAGCCTCGGTGTGGTCAATTTAGCTTCCAGGGGGAGTTCAGGCTTGATTTGGTCTAGAACTCACTGATTTATCTTTTGGGCAGTCCACAGTATCCATAAAATTCTCCTCCAACACTACATTTCAAAGGAATCTACTTTCTTCCAGTCATCTTTCTTCACTGTCCAACTTGCCCAACTTTCACACCCATACACAGTAATGGCAAGAATTAATTTGATTTTGATCAACAATGACACATCCTTACATTTAAGGATCTTTTCTAGCTCCTTCCTGGCTGCCCTCCCCAGTTTCAATCTTCTTCTGATTTCTTGGGTGCAGTCTGCTTTTTGGTTGATGATGGGACCAAAGAATAGAAAATCTTGAACTATTTGAACAAAGAACACAATAGCTAGCTCCAAACATAACCTATTTGTCTCACAGCTCCCAAGGTATCAGGGTTTACAAACTACCACTAGCATTGTGAATATATATTCCATCTTTCCCTCTCCAGAGCAATTTCCTTTTCCTGGCATTAGTTATGGTTTTGAGCTATCATGTGCACTGATACATCATGTGCACATCATGTGCACTGATACAAAGTGTGGTTAATGCAAACCAAACTTCCTACATAAACCAGATATTGGATTGTCTATTGAACGACCATTACAGAAGGGAGAACTCAACTGATTTCCCTCCTTACCGCAGCTCCTTGATCCAGGTTTGCAAACCTGCCCACATTATGAGATTAGTACAAGAAGAGAAACAGGCGGAACAGTTACAGAATACATTGTTAGCTTTATGGCCTTTCTGTTCCAAGGAAACCAAGTAGGAGGCGTTCTCCCTACAATAAATCCAGGTATATCCAAAGCTTGCATCCCAGCTCAGTCAAACCCAGAAACTGGCTCAAGTGCTGAGCTTGCTGGAACCCAACACTTTGAGAGGCTCCAAACTCACAAGGTAAAGCCTCTCCCCAAGACACCCACCAAGTTTCAAAAGCATTGGACCAGGGGGTCCAATTCTATGGGCCCCCAAACAGGTTGCCCCCATCCCCTCCATTGTTCTCTATGGTGGGAAAAATGTTATTTTTTCCCACCA